CTGCTGTTAACCACAGCGATCAACTACTCAGCCTTTTTGCAACGCTGTTCAACAAACTGGAGCTTCAGGCTGATGAACAGAAGGACCGTCAAACAGAGCATCTCGTTCCACCGAAAAGCGCGGCTGGTACAGTGAAGAGTCTACGAGGCAGTATATTTGGCAGACATAAAGCCTCACGCGCTTCCGAACGTAAAGCCGAATCTACCAGTGAAACGCAGCCTCTCAGCACCAGCCCTTCGGTTCACAACGAGCACGAGCCCGGCACCGATCTTGCGCCGGCAATCCAAGTTACTCACGAGCAGAATGGAAATGCTGAGACTCCACAACCGCTGGGCAGATCAGATTCGACGCGACAAAAATTGCGGAAGCGGAGCGGTACTCTTAAAAAGCCCGAAGGTCAAAGGTCGACTCATGTCAATGGCACTGAAGATCTGACCAACGGAGTCAGCGCGGCTACCAACGGGATTGGGATGCCGCAGCAACCAGGTAGCGGAGAAGGCGTCGCTGAAGATGCTGTCGGTCTTGCGGTATCAAGCACCGCAAACCAACCGCAGAGCGCGAAGCAGCCTCTGCGACCCGCCGCTCATAACATGGATTCCAAACAAGCGCCTCCTCCGACAGGTCATCCCAAACAACCACCTGAGCAAGACATTCGATTACCATATAGATTTGACTCACCGACAAAAGCGATTACCAAATTCCCCCTTGTCCAATCGCAAAAACAGGCTCTTGCTGTCCTGATCAAGATTTGGCTCCTGATTGCGGGCCTCTATCGACGCGCTTCGCTATTTGAGGATGCGCAAGAGGCGTGCGAAGAGGCCGCCAGACATGTTGACCGGGTGGAAGCTCTTGTTGCTGCCCAGGAATCCTCTGCCAGGGCATTTAGAAGCCGTGGTTGGGCTGCAGCAAAAAGCTGTGACGAGCTCTGGGCCGACCTCCACGCCGAACAGGGGCTCTTGGCACAAGCTCAATCCCGCCCTCATGACGCAATGGAGCTCTTCGAGGAAGCGTTGGTGCGTGATCCGGATCATGTCAAAGCGACGGTCTGCCTGGCGAATCTACTCCTCGACATCTGGGAGAGGAAAATGCCTGTGAACCGGCCAGCTGCTGATGATCTTCATGCGGAGATGTCAACGCTGTACCTACCGGCTACCGCTCAGAAGTCCAGTGCTGCCTTGAACAAGATTCAAAATAAGGATTTCGATAATTTAGAGGATCGGCCAATGCCATCAAACCGACAGATTCCTGCAACTGACATTGAGGAGGATGAACCTAAACTGCTCAACCGTATCGCTGCCCGGGACCGAGCCTTCACCCTCTTGTCGGCATTGACAAAGCGTGGCACCGCCTGGGATAACTCTGAGGCTTGGTATGCGCTCTCCCGCGCTCATGAGGCAAGCGGGGATATCGAAAAGTTGAAGGAGGTTTTATGGTGGTGCGTTGAGCTTGAAGATCGACGACCAATTCGACATTGGTCAAATATAGGCTCGGGCCTCTATGTCCTTTAACACCAGGATACCTCTTGTCTGGTTTGTTCGAGAGCCATTTGTTGTGATATTTCTTGGCTACAAAATACCTTCATGATAACCCCTTGTTGATAATTATGGACATATAGCGTCTGACTGTCAGGCGAGAAGCAGGAATTTAACTTTGAATCCTTTTGATAAAGTCGAACGAGCAATAGAACATCTTTATTTACACATCCCGAACCACAGAGTTAATGGCTGGAGGGTCAATGAAATCAAACGAAGCTTGCGCCAGCCATGCCTGACCTCCACTTCTATCATCTCGTCGAATTCCATCTACCGAGGAGCGGCAACTGGTGTCCAAGCGGAGTACTTGGGCTTCACACTGTATTAAAATGGAGTTAGTGGGTGCGCGGGTCTCATAGCGGACAATTCAGGTCCGAAGAGGAGGGAAACTCCCATAAGGGGGGATACTAACGTCGAATAGGTCTTGTAAGCGCCACGGCTGAGAGTCAGGTTAGGCCTGTGCTCAGGCAATTCCCACGCGCGGAGGCCAGTCTGTAAGATCTTGTCCTGGGTTGGAGGCGCATCCACCATATAAGCCAGCCAGGCGTGCCTGAACAACCCATTGATTTAGCGGTCTTATTTCGGAACAATTGCATCATGATGATTCGGGATATTCTCACCAGCCAGGCTCGATCTGCGAGGCATCATATTCCTTCTCCTTGTAATCGACCCATCTTGTCCGGACTGTCACAGTTATTAACAGCAACCCATTGACAGCTTGCTCGCATCACTCACGAGGAAGCTCCTCCTCCATGTTTTCGTAGTACTTATTGCCGTAGCGGTCGGTAGCGATCAAGGTGCCAGCTTTGGTATCACCTATAAATTGTGCTTGCGTTAGTCACTTGTCGCAGTCGATAATCGCGGGCAAGTCATACCGATGTACTGTCATAAAGCGAAGCCGAAGAGGCAAGAGAGTAAGTCATCATCCAAACAAAACATCCTGTTTGATCATGGGCTCCCTCCATCGCATGTTCGGATACCCTACCTGCATCTGGTGTCCATATTCCTGTGCAGGGTTAAAGAGATTAGCACAAAGGTTCCGAGGCTCCGATTCTGATCCGAAGACCAACCTTGAATCCAATCCTCCTCAGATTCCGCAATGTGCGAAGTATGGTCGACATCTTGAGCGATATACAGCGATTGAGCTGGTCAGCAGTCTGCAAAGCTGAGGTTCGAGATAGGGAAGCGGGCAGCCCGTCACGACGGAGGTGAAAGAGCCGCCCGATGCGGTTTAGTACGGAATTTGTTTGCACCGTTTGCTCTCTATCATCCAAGTGCCGCCGATGTGTCTAATCGCGATTCCATCTTTTTGCGAACACCTCGATCTCAATGGCGCCTTGCTATTGATCTTGCAGTCTCTTGTCGGTCGGGTAGACAAGAAGGTTTAGGCAAGATGTTTCAACGCATCGGAGGCAACGCTCTGCGATGCGCCGGGCGCAGGCCGATTGCTCGGAGAAGGCTTTGTGACCGCAAATTCTCCGCCTATACAACAAACGCCAGCACGGTTGCGCCCTCATCAGCGTCTCCTTTGGGTGCAATTACGGTTGAATTGGATCGAGTGGCGCCTCGGTTTGAGGTTCCAGCTTCCAAAGTTACTATCTTAGATTCCCCTGCAAGTTTCTATAGCACTCTCAAGGTAAGGAGGATTGGGGCAGTCAATGAGGACCACCGTCGTTTGTTAACTAACTGGAATACAGGATAAGATACGGAATGCCAAAAGCCGCATCTACATCTCTACTTTATACATAGGCAAAGCGGAACATGAGCTTCTCGAAACGATAAACCAGGCGCTTCGGGATAATCCCAAGCTCAAAGTATCCATCCTCACGGATGCCCTACGAGGGACTCGGGAGACTCCAAATCCTTCTTGCGCTTCTCTCCTGGCATCTCTGGTCGCTGAACATGGATCGGATAGGGTTGATATTCGGATGTTCCACACCCCCAATCTGACAGGACTGAGAAAGAAATGGATCCCTCGGAGGATCAACGAGGGCTGGGGCCTTCAGCACATGAAGCTGTATGGCTTTGATGATGAGATTATTCTTTCTGGGTACAATAATCTAAGTCACAAATGCATAACGATGGGCTGATCATAAATTTTACAGAGCGAACCTCTCGGAAGATTATTTCACCAACCGTTTGGATAGGTACCATGTCTTTCAGAACAAAGAACTGGCCGATTACTATGCGGGAATACATGACGCTGTGTGCAGCCTCAGCTTTCAGGTTCTACCGGATCCACATAATGCTTCAGGATACCTTCTGGATTGGCCGACGTCCAACGGCGCCCCTTGTCCCTTAGATGACCCGGAAGAATTCATTTCCTATTCAACAACTGTCTTGCACCCCCTCATCCAACCTTCCTCTGAGACCAAGCCAGCACCTGAATGGAGTTCGTCGAGTCAAACACTCGTATACCCTGTGGCTCAGTTCACTCCGCTGTTGAAGCCTGATACTTCTACTGAGTTCCCAGCGGTTACAGCTATTTTGCGCCTTCTTTCTACTTCCCATGTCTTCTCTGGTGCCCGCTGGCTCTTCACCGCTGGCTACTTCAACATACATCCTGTCCTTTCTTCTCTCCTCATAGCAAGCACATCGACCTCTCACACTGCCTCGACTACCCGAGGTACCGTGCTTACCGCTTCCCCGTGGGCCAATGGATTCTATGGCTCTCCGGGAGTTTCTGGCATGCTGCCTGCCGCCTATACACATCTTTCAGCCAGGTTTCTGGACCGAGTCGCAGAGGCACAGCGCACAAACTCCATCCAGCTCAAAGAATGGCGACGCGGGACCGTTGGGGAACCAGGAGGCTGGACTTATCACGCCAAGGGATTGTGGATAACTCTGCCCAAGGAAGAACACCCCAGCATGACATTTGTCGGAAGCAGCAACTACACAAAGCGCAGCTACAGCCTGGATTTGGAAGTCGGCGCGTTGGTCGTGACCAATGACCAGGAATTGAAACGGAAATTGGGGGCTGAGACTGATTGGTTGCAAGAAGATTCCCAAGCCATCTCGCGCGAGGATCTACGGCGGACCGAAAGACGAGTCTCTTGGAAGGTGCGATTGGCGATGTGGATCGTTGAAAAGGTTGGTGGTGCTCTATGATTTGCGTCCTCCTGGAGAGGATCATTCTGCGCCTGAGAAGATTTGTGATGTTGTATCTTGGAATGGATGAATCCATATACCCATGTATTATAGAGCCACTTGTATATATAGGTGGAGGAGAAGGAAAAACCTCCAATTGGCAGACTTGTACAGATTTCTAGCCACTTCGTTGCGGTGAACTTTCAACTACTGCCTCTACCTCTTTAAGATGGACGTATATTAGATGCAAAGAAAACGCATCATACTTCATTCATGAAACAACGTGTGGATATGGTCTAAAAAACGAACCCGAAACGCCCAATGCCAAAGCTTTTTGCTAGAGAAAATGAAGATGTATCATCGCAGTTCATTGAAGGAGGATTATGCCCGGCCAGAAACCTTTCCTGGCACCCTGGCGGGGCCGAGACCCTGTCGAATCTCCTCCAACATCTTGATTCCAATGGCCTCGTTGCCGTTTTTGCCTCTCTTGGCCTTGGCGCCCTTACGCTTCGCCTGGGCGCTCGTCTTATCATCCCACCCGGCAAGGAAGTCGTCCATGACCTCATTGAAGTTGTGTCGCGGGGCAACCTCGCGCCCGTTGGCGTCAATGAGGCTGGGCGCTTGCGATGAAACGGTAGAGATGCCGGTCATACCAGTCATGCCAGTCATGCCACTGACCATGGACATGTTATCGTCGTAGTCCTCGCCTTCCTCGTCGAGCGCATAGAGCGCTTCTACCCTATCGAATCGGTCGTCAAGAAGCCGGTGTCCTTCTGTACGGGCCAGAGCAGACGACGTCATAGAGTAGGCGGAGGGGTTGGTGAGTGCGCCCTTGCGCTTCTTTCTGCGAATTGGCGTGCCCCCCACGGTGAAGATGGTGGAAGCGAGAGTGCTGCGCTGCTCCGAAGGGACGATGCTTGGCGGCGCTACTGGCGCAGCTTTCACTTTGCCGTCCTTCTTGAACTTGGCGAACTCGCGCATCCATCCCTGGTCCTCGGGGTCCATGTCTGGAGCGGGTGCGTCGTGGCTTGGCAGTTCTCCAGGCTCCTGGTCATTTGAGTTTGGAGGAAGAGGAACACCGCCGTGGTCCGCCTTGGCCTCGGTAGTGTCCATCTGCACGGGTGCTTTTTCTGTTGCATCAGACTCCCAGCCGTCGTCTTCGTCTCCTTCGTCAAAAAGTGTGTCCTCCCAGTCGCCTGCATCCAGCTCCTCCGCATTGTTGGTCAATTTGCCGAAGACATCCTCCTCATCATCCGGGTCGACATATTCCTCGTCCTCAAGCGCCTCGAGCACTTCACGAAGACGAGGATCCATGTCAGGCTGGAAACCTGCAATCGCATCGGGGACATCTTGTTGGTCCTGGTAAGTCGGTTTGCGAGAGTATGATGAAGTGGTCGAGCGCAGGTCCGAAGTATATTCAGATCCGTAGACACTGCCGGCGCCAAACTCGCTCCTTGTATCATCCAGTGTCATTTGTTGCTTCAGGGCATCTTCCAGCTTCATCCCCTTAGCCTTGCTCTTTCCCTTGCTCGTAGCCTCCACAAAGTACGACTCGCCGCCACCTGTTCCCAGCTCCCGCAGATGCTGCATGTAGTCATATTTCGAGTCATCGAAGAAAATGCCATAGTTCGCAGCCTCGCCCTCGTTGTGCCGAACGGAGTCTGATCCGAATTCGCTGGACAGATCCGACAGATTCTTGCTCCGCTTCGGACCTTCTGAGATTGGAAGCGACGGCCCTGAAACAGGGTGCAAGACACGGTCGTCGGCTTCGGGGTCGTGAATCAAAGGATCATGTTGAGATCGGTGAAAGAGCTGGTATGTGGTGGCATTTTTCTTATCACTGTTGCTCTAGAATTAGTTTGGTTGCCGGCGAGCATCAAATGGAACGGATCCGTCAACGTACATCCACTGCTTGCGAGGAGGCATCTTGTTGGTCTGATTATTATCGACGCCCTAAAACTTAACTGTCTAATCTGCACTGTCTTTCTCTTTCCAAGTGTCTTTCGGAGATCAAAAATCAAAATTTCGCGATAGTGGGATGTTATCGAGTCACGTGGCCCCTTATCAGCAGGTTCATGCCTTGGGCAGAAACATCGTTGTCACTACTACACTTTGAAGCCTGCAGAGTCAGAGGGTCATTGAGGAAGTCTGAAAGCCAGTTATAACTTGAGCAACAGATATTGTAGCATTGAATCTCCCTGTTTCTTCGGCAATTGTTCTTGTTTGTCCCTACCATTCTCGATTGCTGGATGACTCAGCATCTTATCTTATCCGCGCGGGGCTTTTCTTTTCTCTCTGGAAATCTTCACCCATCATTAATAATACCACTTTTCTCTGTTTTGCTTTGCCTCCGAGCATTAACACTTCCTTTCCTTCCCTCTAGATACGACCTCCCTCTATTTCTACAAGGGAAAGAATCTCATTTTAATAGTGGTGGAAGTCAGCGGATTGAGCTGCACACATCGCCACCATGGTTCTCGCAAAATCCAAAAATTCCGTGGGGTTGGGAAACACCCTTATGAAGGATCGATTCGGCAAGGGCAAAGCATCGAACCAGAAGAAAGTATCGCATAATAGTGCTATTACTCGTACCGCGCAAGATGGCAGTACTTATATCACCAATGCTGCCAAAGAAGCATCCTGGGTGAAGATGCGCAGTATCACGGAGCAAGCCGCCCTCGATGAATTTCTCAGCACCGCCGAACTGGCGGGCACCGACTTTACTGCGGAGAAGATGAGCAACATCAAGATCATTCACTCGGATCAAAAGAACCCTTTCCTTCTTTCTGCGTCAGAGGAAAAGTCGGCCAGGAAGAAGCATCAGCAGAATAAGGGGCGCTTAACCGTGCCGAGAAGACCGAAATGGGATTCCACAACGACCAGGGATCAGCTGGAGACGATGGAGAGGGAGAGTTTTCTGGAGTGGCGAAGAGGACTTGCGGAGCTTCAGGAGAACAACGATCTTCTGATGACGCCCTTTGAGCGGAACTTGGAGGTCTGGCGCCAGCTGTGGCGAGTCATTGAACGTTCGGACCTGGTTGTACAGATTGTTGATGCTCGGAATCCATTGATGTTTCGCTCCGATGATCTCGAGAACTATGTGAAGGAGATCGACCCCAAGAAGCAGAACCTTTTGCTTGTCAACAAGGCGGATATGCTCACTGAGAAACAACGAGAGATGTGGGCTGATTACTTCGATCGCAACAATATCAACTTTCGATTTTTCTCGGCTCATCTGGCCAAGGAGCGGAACGAGGCCCGGCTTCTGGCCGAAGAATCAGGCAGTGAGAGCGAGGAAGAGGACGCCGATGATCTCGCCAATGCGGCGAGTTCGATGAACATCAATGATCAACAGGATGCCAAGGATGCATCAGCCGAAGGAGATGGCCAAACTGAGCACGATGGGGGACTCAAGCTTCCCGAATACCGCAAATCTCGGAGGACGGATATTCTCGATGTGGAGGAGCTGGAAGAACTTTTCCTGTCCAACACCCCGGACACACTTCCAAATAATGACAATGGCGAGGGACAGCGCAAGCAGAAGACAACAATCGGCCTGGTCGGTTACCCCAATGTCGGCAAGTCCAGTACCATCAACGCCCTCCTCGGAGCAAAGAAGGTGTCTGTCTCCGCTACACCTGGAAAGACGAAACACTTCCAGACACTCTACCTGTCGCCGGAGATCATGCTCTGCGACTGTCCTGGTTTGGTCTTCCCCAACTTCGCAACAACCAAAGCCGAACTGGTGGTGAATGGTGTCCTCCCCATCGACCAGCAGCGCGAATTCACTGGTCCAGCTGGTCTGGTCGCGCAGCGTATCCCCAAGCACTTCCTGGAGGATGTCTACGGCGTGAAAATTCAAACTCGGCCGCTGGAAGAAGGCGGCACGGGCATCCCCAACGCCCACGATCTCCTGCGAGCCTACGCCAGAGCTCGTGGTTTCGCTACTACCGGCCAAGGTCAGCCCGACGAGTCGCGCGCGGCCCGCTACGTACTAAAGGACTACGTCAACGGTAAACTTCTCTTCTGCCACCCGCCCCCCGTCCCTGAAGGTGAAGAGCCCATCGACCCGCTCGAGTACAACCGCGAGCTGTATGACACTGCCCATCTCCCGGCCCGCCGACAGGCAATGCTCGCAAGAGAGGCCCAGGCCAACGCAGGCGGCGAGGAATTCGACGACGACGCGGAACTTTTGTCCCTGGGCTCATCCTCCAAACAGGGCCAGGCCGTCGTGGGATCGCGGTCGCGGAATCTCGACACGGGTTTCTTCGGCCCCGGCGCGAAGGGCTCAGCCGGACGGCTTACCCTGCCGTTTAACGCCCAGTACACCGAACAAGGCCAGCAGATCCGAAAGCAGCTGACCGGCCGCAAGGAGAGACTAATGGTTGCGCTGGAACGAGGGGTGGACGTGTCGGAGGTGCGCGGCAACTCGAAGAAACACTTCAAGGGCAACAAGAAGAGGGCCAAGGCGAAGCGCACGAAAGCGGAAGATGACGACTACTGATAGGTTTATGACAACTCGCTGGCGAGTGATGCATTTGCTGTGATTATTCGGTTTCTGTCTCATGTCTCTGGTGGGTAGGCGGGGGATACCATGGGATGGATTGGTTTATACCTTAGATGAATTGCATCATCTAGCGAAAAGTAGTAACATGATTTGACTTTAGATACCGGAGTTAGATGTCTATTTAACTTACTTGTTCATGATGACGATGGTATACTTTTGTAGTTGTCGTACTGGTATTTGGTATAGAAAAGAGACATTCTCATTGTCCTGCATACTATTTTGTTCGATTATTTTATGCCTACGTCCACCAGGTCATCACAGATGACTCTTGGGCTTCTGGAATCCACTAGCCAACAGCAACCGCTCTGCCTCCTCCTTCTGGTACTTCAGCTTGGCAACAATGGCGTCCTGGCGCGACTTGTTCTCGCGTCTACCAAGCTGCTGCAGGTGGACCTCATCGGGTCCGTCGGCGATGCGCAGCGTCCGGATCATGGCCCAGAGGTTGGCCAGTGGCGTATCCTGGCAGACACCGGCGGCGCCGTAGGCCTGGACGGCGCGGTCGATGACGGTCAGGGCGGTCTGGGGGACGAGGACCTTGGCCTGAGCGATCTCCTTGAGGGCGGCCTTGGCGTCGCCCTGGTCGATCTTGATGGCGGCGTTGAGGACAATGAGGCGGGCGGCGTCAATCTCAATGCGCGACTTGGCGATCCACTCGAGGATGACGCCGTGGGCGGACAGCGGCTTGCCGAAGGTCTTCTTGCGGTCGTCGTTAACGCGGGCGATGAGCCACTCGAGGGCCTTTTCGGCGGCGCCGATGGTGCGCATCGCGTGGTGGATGCGGCCGGGGCCCAGGCGGCCCTGGATAATCTCGAAGCCGCGGCCCTCGCCCAGGACCATGTTCGAGACGGGCACGCGCACGTTGGTGAAGGTGATGTGGCCGTGGCCGTGCGGGGCGTCGTCGTAGCCGTATACGGTCAGCATCCGGTGCACGTTGATGCCGGGAAGGCCGGCAGGCACGAGGATGACGGACTGCTGGCGGTAGGGGTCTGGGTTGGTCGGGTCGGACTTGCCCATGACCAGGTAGATCGCGCAACGGGGGTCACCAGCGCCAGACGACCACCATTTCTATCGAGAATTGGTCAGTATGCAAATGCTCTTCGTAGAGGCGAGTGGAACGTCTACATACCGATCCGTTAAGGACATACTCATTGCCTTCGCGCCGGATGTTCAGCTCAATGTTTGTGGCATCACTCGAGGCAACATCAGGCTCGGTCATGAGGAAAGCAGAGCGGATCTTGCCCTCGAGCAGAGGAGCAAGCCACTGCTTCTTCTGCGCTTCATTGCCATACTTGGCGAGCACCTCCATGTTACCGGTATCAGGGGCAGAGTTATTCGTCGCCTGAAAAATCACCCGTCAGCAACCCAATCGTCACTCTTTGCAAGTATCTGACTTTTGTCACCCACCTCAGAAGCAAGCTTGCTCTTGCCCAGATACTCAGCCATTAGACCATACTCCAGGTTACTGAACCCAGCACCCTGGGAGAAGTGGTTCTTGGGCAGGAACATGTTCCACAGGCCCAGCTTCCGGGCCTTGGCTTTGAGCTCCTCTAGCACAGCCGGGGTAGTCTGCCATCTCTTCTCGCCTTCGCCGAGCTGGGCATTGAATAGAGCATCGGCGGGGATGCAGTCTTTCTCGACGAATTCTTCAACCTGAGCACCGCAGAAAGAATTAGCATAGTTGTATCTGGGGGTAAAATGTGAAGAGACAACATACCAGGTCGAGGACCTTCTTTGCCCGATCGCTCACAAAGGGCTGAGCGATGGGGGGAATTCTTGTGGAGGCGGACATGTTGTGTATGTGGGGGAGCAACGAGAGAAAATGAAATCTAGCAAGGTACTGTGGACTAGGAAATCGAAAACCCCGGACAGATGAAGCAGGGAAGAGAGACGGTTATAAAGCCGAGCAAGCGTGTAAAACAAAAAGGATCATACGAGGGTTGAGATGGAGCTGATTGCGGAGTACTCGCAGTTTGCGGAGAAGCAGCCGAGCACTGCTTTTGAACCTCGGCTGACCCCTGTTCTGACCGTTCTGGATCCAGACTCAGAGAGCGATGCTGCTACAAAGGTAGATGAAAGCCAAACATGTAACGACGAACTGAAAGACTATTTGACAACCGATAGTTGATTAGATATTACAATTTCAAGCGATTACAGCATGGATGGTTCATCCGAGGTTCTGTCGGTTTACCGAGCCAAAAAGAGAGAGCTGAATTCATAGACCAAGTCCGGCCATCTATCAGTATCAAAGATAGCGACATGATATCATTATTTTCCCAAGCTACCATTATGGATCATCGATACAGCGACAAAGGACCAAAAAAAAAAAAAAAGAGACACAAGTCCATTCCCAATTCCTCTATAATCCCACATAATCTCCGTATGAACCCCAGACCAGAAAAATCAAGCAACCCAGAAACCCAAAGGCAACAGTGTCAGCCTTACAATGTCAACCAATCGTAATCACACAGGCACTGCCCATGGTTACCGAAAAATGATAGATGCACGAAGCAGAGGACTCGAGACCGAGGCGGTCATGCTATGTATGCTCACTTTTTTCACCCTCCAACGATGCGACCAGCGCACAAACATGAGGAAAAGAAGTGAAATATGCGACATCTTGCCCTCCATTCCGCATACTATCGAATGATTGACCATGTCTAGGCCGTACTGTCATCTCCAAGGCTCTTGTTATTATGTTCCGCCGTATTCTGCTCAAAGTTCTTCTTGCCCAGCTTGGCGAAGAGCGACTGAGGCTTTCCAGCACTGCACACATGTCTGTTAGCATCATCTTCAAAGACAAATATGATAATATTCAGACACAAGGCGGGTGACATACTTCTTGAAGCGCTTGCCCTTGAGATCACTCAGCTTCTTCGAGCAGGGACTCATGATATCATCCGATGGAGAAACATAGCTCGCTTGATTTCTGTCCATAGTTACTGTCAGACATTTCCTTCTAATCTTCTTTCAACAGGATAATAATGCACGATTTATGACCGGGACAGAGTTTGCTGCCCGTCGCATCCCTCCAGAGTAATCGGATTTCAAGCACTTCGGGAAAACTCACTTATCCTCGTTCTGCAGTTTACCCTGCAGGACTGACCGATGGTGCTCCATCGAGTTCAGATTCCCCGATGCGGACTTAAGCTCGTTGACTTTGTCCTGGTTTGCAGCAGCGAGGTGGGTGTTTGTTGACCGGTCAGCCAGAGGGGCGGTGGGTGTGGAGTCCATTGTATACAGAGGGGTTGGATTTTCAGACGCGCTTCTGCGTTCTCGTTTGTATTCACAGAGAGCTTTCAGCACGAGCTTATAAGTCTGTCCTGAGTGTAGATCGTGGAGATGATTGTAATGGATGAGAAATATGTAGAATGAATGCAGAATGACCTTGGTTGGAGGAAGCGATGGATAAGCAGAGAAAGAAAAACCGTGCCGATTGTTGTCATGGCAACTACATGTGCCGCCATGCTTGACATCATATGCACAGAAACGAGAATAATAAATAATAATTGAATATCGATATTTCAGGCAGGTCATCGTCTGTCATTCAAATCATAATCATAGTGGTATCTAAACATGCATATAAACATTGATACAATGATATCGAGTACAAGTGTACAACCGCCCCTGGCCTATACAACACTCCTAAAACGTACACAGATAAAAAGAAAATAATGATCATCCTCTGCTTCATCTGTTGTTTTACAGCAGTGAGTACAGAGTACCCTTGCAAGATAGAGTAAATAGAGGGGTCACATGAGGCCAAAGTGTTCCCCAATCAACGTCACCTTGGTTGATTCTGCGCAAGTCCTGGTGACAAAGAGCTGGATTAGCGTTCAGCTGAACCCGACTCAGCTTTGTCAGCCAGCGCCTCAGGAATGGCAGGAATCAGCATTCCGGACCGTCGAAATCTGCAACAAAGACTGTTTATGATTCTGTACCCACCCATTGCCCGAGTGACAGCCGTTCGTATTTCAGACAATGCTCTCCTTATGACGCTAGAGGTCATGTCGAGCATCACCGAGCCGTGTCGCTGGCCCAATAGGCGCATGCTTGTGCTCACGTCTCCATGGATCCAGATGCTTCTGAATCCCCATCGTCGCTGTCCTCGCCACTCTTCAAGACGGGAGGGCTGCTTTGCGACCGAAACTGAGGAGGTTCGATGTCTGGCAATTCAAGATCGCCAGGACATGGAGATGATTCTCGTTTCTCTATGGACTCCAATGGCACTGATGTCTCCGACGTTGGTGTCGGCGGCGAGTATGCGATAGTCGGGCTCGGCGCACTGTCCTGCGTGTCGTCCGTAATATTCCTCCTGTGGCCACCTCGATATGAGGACGTCGGCCTGGTCGAACTGGGACTCATGGAGGGCGAGCTAAATGGTGGAGATGACGATCGTAAACTGTAGGATCGAGACACCATGTTTTGCACGCTGGGGAACTCCATATAGCTGCTCACTGCACCCCGAGAAAACAAGACCAAGCCAAAGCAGAAGAGGACCATGATGCTTTGAATCACAGCGACCCGCTTCTGAAAGACTAGTTCATCCGCCAGGACACCCAGCTGCGCACTCAAGGAGAATATCTCCTGGTGATATTGGATGCGCTGGGTTTCAAACTCCAGTGCAACCGTCTTCCAAACCTGATCATACTGTTCCCGGAACTGTCTCAGTTCATTCAAAACAGTCACATTCAGATTTTCGAGAAAGGTGGAGGTTTTCGACAGCTGGCGCTTCTCGACTTTGCTAAACGCATCACGCAGAATACGTGACTGCTCCTCAATGTATAGAAGAGACAAAGTCGAGTTCGACTCCAGCATCTGCAGCMGCTTGTTGACAGACTTGAAAAACGACTCTTGCGTAGTGGGGTTAGGTGATGGTGGTTGAGTTGCAGAAAATTTAGTTGAGTCTACTGGAGGAACTTGTTCTTCCTGGGATGAGGCTGTAGATTTCTGGTCTGTTTCCGACGTGGTATCGTGCTGCACAGGCTCAGATATGGTTGCCGTCGAAGCGGGAGCAGGGGTGCCGTCAGCTCCGGACTGGCCAGCAGCTCGTCGAGCATCGGGTGCGTCTCTGGTACCATTATCTGCACCGGGCACAATAGGCACAGAGTGCTCGGGTCCCGCTGGCGTGGTGTCCCTCGAAGGCGAGTGATGTTGAACAGCTGCGTCGGTTCTTTCCTGGCCAGCAGGTCTCGTCGGTGTAGCCTGCGCACTGCATGTCTCAGAATCTACATAACTCGCCAGAAGCCTCTCCAGCCCTTGCGCTGGGTTCGAGCAAGTATCCTGGGTTTGAGCCTGCACTTTCCTGCCCGCGCCTTCACGAGTTTCCGCACGAAGATCGGACGGATTTTCGGATGGCTCTGCAATCTCCGCGTCAGTGGCGGCATGGTCTGGTTCCAGAGTCTCGTCAACAATCTCATCATCAACTCGACTAGCCTCGCCATCATGCTTATATTCCTCCAGCATAGTCGTCCCATGGACCCGTATGAGACTCAGAGGGCAGTAGAACTCGTTTCCGTAGTGCGTCAGAAACTCAATCTTCAGATAGCGAGCCCAGATCAACGGGTTCTCCACCGCGAAAGCTTGAACTTCACGGGTATTCCTGGCTTCAAAAATCCCCAGTTCTCTCCACTGGTCCGGTTTTGCCGGGTATCGATCCGACACGCTGACCCGGAAGGTATGAAAGATGGAACTGAAGAACTCATAGTTTGCAAGAACCAGAGTGTCCACCAGGATATCGTCGCACAGCTCGAGAATCAGGAACTTATTTTTAGCCCGACACTCGTTTAGCATGTAGCTGTCTTTATTCTCGATCAGTACGGAAGACGAGCCCTGACACTCGGGGTTGGTCTTGAGCACCGTAGCAGCGCAGTCAAAGGAGGCGTAATTGAAGCGCTCCTTGCACGTAGTCCCAGCGTCTTTCCTGCGCGAGCTGCCTGACCGCAGAACTCCAGGAGATGGGGCACTCCCATCTCCACCAAGTCCGCTATCAATCGACCCCGCGCTTTCTCCCATGTGAACCCCCGAGCCAAACGACGGCGGTCGCGCGGCCTCTGGCGCGTCAGCCCCGAATCCACCAAAGTCAAGCTCAATCTCTGCGTCTTCTCCCAGCGAATCCAGCGCGTTGCTGATCCCTGTAGGCCGTCGTCGGCTCTCGTTCCCTGCCACCCCACTACGCCGGTGTCCCCCTACATTCTCCGCCGACTGGCCAACCTTTGCCAGATTCTGCTTCTTCCAATCTTCAAACGATAGGAACTTGGCGTTATCGAGGGGCGAATCTGTGTCCAACTCTTGCTCCTGGCCAGGGTGTTGCTGTTCAGTCACAGGGCTGCCGGCGCCGGTCGGCGACGAACTGTCTGAAATCGACACCGTAACAGGAGGTCCCCCAGTCACCGTAGTTCCTGTCCTGCTCCATCGAGTCTCGATGCAGACAGGCCACCGAATAAACTCGGCCTCAGTATCCCGCCAGCCCCTTGCCAGGCATAGTGGCTGTGAGTGCTCCCGTGCCGCTTCTCCAGCCGCAAGCAGGGCAAGGGTGGCCAAATGAACGAGAGATGCGCCCGCACATCGGCCCCAAAGCATCATGCACACGGCGTGGCAGAGGGGAAAAAAGAGTATGCTCAAGTCAAAAGCCGTTATCAGCTAAACTTCCTGCTAGCACGCTTGACCCTGAAGTCGCCACTGTTAAAGGGATGTCGAAAGATATTTTGGATTAGTCGACTAGATCATATTCGTGGTGTGTACATTGGGCCTCTGCAAATCATTCAGAGTAATGCATCATGGCGTCAGCGCTCCGGAGAATAAAGGTGAAAGCAAGAAAAAGAAGGCTTATCAGTACACCGGCTTACCGCGTGCATTCGGCCGCGCTTGCTTGGGCCAGTTGTCGCAAAGAATGAAGAAAGATCGAATAAAGAGGTGTGCAAGGCAGGTTTTCGATGAAACGACGGCCAGTGTTAATTAGACATGTCCGAGTAAAAAAATGAAAGTGTGTCCACAATTGCAGCCCATGTGCAAAGGAATTCGTCCCTGCATCAGGTTGAGGTGGCTTTCTGCGGCTGTCCCCAATCGTCCAACAGTCTGTGACCGCCCTTTCCACCCCCGTCACCGCCTCAAGAATGCCATCGCCATGAAAGCGTTGGTAGGTAGCTATATGCACAAGTCGGTGATTCATCTCCTTTAGCTGAATTACTAGAGAGAGTAATTATTAAGGGAAGAAAGAAACGATTCACGAGAAATTGTTGATTCAGGACTATTCCTTGGGATTATTGTCCACTTCACAGCCTACCTAATCAGCTGTTCCACCTAGCTAGCTACATACAGTACAGTGCATTGGCTCTTTTGAAGGAACCAACAATAGACAGACAGAAAGTGGAAGAGAACAATAGTTGCTATTCCCGCAGCATTTCCTTTTTTTTCCCGCATTTTCCTTCAGACTCGTGCAGAAGATTCGATGAATAGCAGGCGACGAATGTAAACCATCCATCTCTTTCGCCATGCATCATCGCTCCTTGCCCCTGTGCCATTGCCAAACCGTCACACATTGCACCTTTTGATGTTGAAGAGTATGTGAACACATAATGTTGAACTCGAACAGAGCACCGAACCTTCTTGGAATACAATCCCAATGGTTAATCCGCCGGTGAGTCACTTTTGAACCGCTCGCCGCCACCGCTTGCATGCTCCAGAGCGAGCTGTAATATACAGGAATAAAAACGACAGACATGACCACGCGCTCCAATGCCGCGAAGAAGAGATTCTATCTATGAGTGCACTTTGTTTTTCTCAATGGAAATAGGAGAGAGGCGAGGAAGTGTTGAAGAGGAAATCAAAAGGGTAGGGGGGGGAAAAAAAAAAAAGAGGTGACGTATATAGGTTTTCTTTGCTCTCCTTCCAGAATGGATAAGACGCAACAATGGGACGGAAGGGCATTTGACACAAGGGGAAAAGAGGATGCTGCTGATGAAGTGATGGCATTAGAGGTGAAGGTCGTGCCAGCCACCCACAAGATCAAGATCTTCGTCGATGCTTCCATCGTAACCGCTGGGAATGAAAGGCTTGACGGCCTTTGGAGACTCCACTGCATCACGGCGCTTACCCTTCTCCGGGAACGGGCGGCGCCGACGGTCCTGATGCGCGAGGTTATCTTTCTTAGCCCAAGATCCGTAGTCGAATCCAGATGAGCCAAGGCCCCAATCCTTTCGCCAACTCATGCTGTTTGAAGATTTCGGCTGGCC